TCATAGAAACCCTAAGCACATCAGAATGAAACACTGCCCAGTCCTGCACCATCCTCACAATCCTGCTACGCTTGAGCCCACTGTTGTAGCCATGGTGTCAATCCATCTCATTAAAGGTCTTCCCCTTTTTTGCTGACCCTCTACTTTACTAAGCACAATATCCTTTTCTACGAACTGGTCCCTTCTGAAACATGACCCAAGTGAGTGAGATAAAATTTGAGCTATTCTCGCCTCTAAGGATCTGCACTTTTTTCCAGGACAGACTTGTTCATGCTTCTGGCAGTCCATGGTATTCTCAGTATTCCTTGCCAACACCACAATTCAAAGGCATCAACTTGTCTTTGGTCTTCCTTATTCACTGTTCAGCTTTCACATGCATATGAGCTCTTGTAGCATAGTGGCTAAGGCACATGACTGCTAACCAGAAGGCTGGCAGTTCAAACTCACCAGCCACTCCTCAGAAGGAAGATGGGGCAATCTACTTCCGTAGTGATACTGCTTCGGAAACCCAAGGAGGGGTGGCTATGAGTCGGGTCCGACTCGACGGCACATAACAATATGAATCGACTGAAAATAACATGGCTTGGTTAAGCGTACCTTAGTCTTCAAACTGACGTCTTTGCTCCTTTTACCTTAACGAGGTTTTTTACAACAGATTTTCCCAATGCAATACATCAGATTTCTTGACTGCTGTTTCTTAGGGTGTTGATCGTGGGTCCCAGTAAAATGAAACCCCTGACTTCAATCTTCTCTCCGTTTATCGTGATGTTGCTTATTGGTCCAGTTTTGAGGACTTTGTCTTCTCTATGTTGAGGGGAAATCCATACTAAAGACTTTAATCTTCGATCTTCATCAATAAGTGCTTCAAGTCTTCATCACTTTCAGCAAGGAAGGTTGTGTCACCTACCTATCACAGGTTGTTAATGAGTCTTCCTCCAATCCTGGTGCCATGTTCTTCTTTATACACAAGAATTCATTATATATATTTATTCATATAGAGAGTTCATTCATATATAGAATTCTTTATAAGAAAGTATAATTATGAAAATATATAGAAATGCTTGTTAGAAGATTAAGTGAAGATAGGAGACTACAATAGAGCAGATACTATAACTAGATCTCTGAAATGTGTTTTTCATTCATTCAATAAATACTGTTTCATGAAGCTTATACTCTAATGAGGACAACAGAAACAACAAAACAAATTACTAAAATATTGTACACTCAGACGGCAATAAATCACAGGGAGAGAAATAAAGCAGGCAACTGTGATAAGGAGTAATTGTGTGGGAGTTACTATGTGAATGAAGATGGCCAGGGAAAACCACACTGAGAATGGAGATTTGGGTAAAAATCTGAAGGAGGTTAGATACTCATGTGAAAGATAATAAGAAAAATTGAAAAGTTGTGCTGTTGTTATTGTTCTGTGCCATCTAGTTGATTCTGACTCTAGTGACCCTTATAGGGCTATGCAGAACTTCCCCAAAGGGTTTCCTGGCTGAAATCTTTATGGGAGCAGACTGACAATCATTTCTTCGGCAGAGCAGCTGGTAGGTTTGAACCAGAGACTTCTGTTTAAGTTAGCAGCCAAGTACTTAATGATTGAGCCACCAGGGCTCCCTGAAAAGTTGTGCTAAACCTGTAGAATTAGGTGAAGTTCTTTCAAATTTATGATGTTTCTTAATATTTTTAAGGAGCTCTGGTGGCCTACTGATTAAGGCATTTGGCTGCTAACCAGAAGTTCAAACCCACTAGCAGCTCCATGGAAGGAAGATGGGGCAATCTACTTTTGTAAAGATTTTGGAAACCCAATAGAGGTTACTATGAGTCAGAACCGACACAATGGCAGTGAGTTTGGTTCTGCTTTTGGTCTTAATATTTTATTGTGTTCAAAACTATTATAAAAAATAAACATTCCAAAGTTCTGGTAGAATAGAAATAAACAAGTTAAATTTAAGAATAACCAAAAAGTACCTCAGCTAGCCCTTTGCTAACTATCCTGTTAAATGTATACGTTTTTATTCCAGTTTTAACACCACAATTTCTCCCACCTTATTTACCACTCTTAGCCAATAGCAGCTTCCACTGTCAATCATGAGGAATACACCAGGCTTACTTGCATCTCATATTTTACAGAACTTATTTCACATGAAAATCTACCCTCTCTATCTACAAATTTAATTCTTCTCACCTTAGCTCCTCTAGAAAGCCTTCAAAGAGTGAGTTACATGCATTATCCCATTTTTATCACCCTTGACTTAGAAAAGAAATTAAAAACACAAGTTCCTTCTCAACAGGCAGGATATTTAGCAAAAAATAAGATTAGGATAAGTTTAGGATAAGCAGTAATTTGCTGAAAGAGGATAGAAATAATAAGAATAAAGTGTGAAAACACAAAGAAGAGAGCATTTTATTCTGCACTGCATAGGGTGGGAGACCTAGAAACCTTCAAAGTGGTTGATGTGGTCAAGAAAGGAATAAGGAGGGCATTATACAAAGAGTGAACAGGCTTAACAAAGTGGGGTGAGCACTACTTTGAGGGAATAGATTTCAAAGGCAATGAAATAAAGCCGGATAGGTGAATAAGGGAGTGTATTGCAAAGGGTCTTGAATGACAGAGTCTCAATCTTTTAGATTACTGTGTAGGTGATGAAGAGTTCTGAAGGCTTTAAACTGGAGTTACACATTGGATTTTCACTTTTTAAAAGATAACTTAGCCTTCAAAACAGACTGTGGAGTGAAAAGGCATGGGATGGCAGACCAGTTAGAACATGGCAGGTATTCAAAAAATGCTTACAAATTAGATAAGACTATCGCAGAGCAGAGACAGTCAGGTGGTACAGTGGTTAGGGCATTTGGCTGCTAACCAAAAGGCTGGCCATTTGAACCCACCAGTCATTCTGTGGAAGACAGATGAGGCAGGCTGCTACCGCAAAGATTTACAGCCTTGGAAAGGCAAATGGGAGTCACCCCACCATCCACTCCTTGGAAGGAAGGTCAGGCAATCTACTTCCGTAGTGATACTGCCTCAGAAACCCAAGGAGGGGTCGCTATGAGTCCGGTCTGACTCGACAGCACATAACAGTAACAGCATCAGTCAGAATCAATGGCAGTGAGTTTGGGGGTTTTTTGAGTATCACATAGCAGAGAGAATTCTTATGAAGGCAGCACCACATGGTGTGTAGTACTCAACTCTCCAAGTGCTTTGAATATATTAGTTTTCTTTCCTTTTAAGATTATAAAATCTAGGAAACTAGACCGGCAAAAAAAATAGTACTGCCTGTGGAGTGACACTGGATTGAAATCCACCACTTAACACTTGCTGGCTGTGTAATCTTCAAAAAGTTGCTTAACCTTATTGTTGTGCCTAAGTTTCCCATGGGAGCTCTGGTAGTGTAGTGCCTAAGGCACTTGACTGCCAACCAGAAGGCTGGCAGTTCAAGCCCACCAGCCACTCCTCCGAAGGCAGGTTGGGCCATCTACTCCCGTAGGGATACCGCCTCAGAAACCCAAGGAGGGGTCTCTAAGAGTTGGTCTGACTCGAAGGCACATAACAAGTTTCCCGTAAAATATAATATCATGTACCCCACATAGGATTGTAGAGGATTAAAAATGAGATAATATATCTGAACTAATCAGTATGGCACATAGTAAATCCACAATAAATATTTAAAAAATGAATTGTACGTGCTGTTACCTTCTAAAGGAGCTTAGTGCCTAAGGCATTTGACTACTAACCAGAAGGCTGGCGGCTCAAACCACCAGCCACTCTGCAGAAGGAAGACTGGGCAATCTAGTTCCTTAAAGGTTGTACCACCTCAGAAACCCACCGGAGGTTGCTGTGGGTCGGAATGGACTCGATGGCAGTGAGTTTGGTTTTTTGGTTTTATTAAGTTCTAAGCACATAACAGATACTCAAATACTGTGACAAATCATTTGTTAATGATTTGTCAGTCACATTTGTCTGTAAATCCCGGAGAAACTTTAAAATATTAAATAAAAAACTCTGCCATTTCTAAAATGAATTGCCATTTGTAAAAGTTATTTTCCCATCGGTGCATGAAATATTATTAATTTGTACAAATGTTGGGTTTATATTTGTACTGATTAATAATATTTCATGCACCAATGGGAAAAATAAATTTTAAAAAAGCCATGCAATTTAGAGATGGCAGATCATTTCCTTAACACATTTCAAAAAGCAGTTGACAACACAAGTCACTCTGACAGCTCTTGAAAGAGCGATAGTCATTGTGTAACCTTAACTTGTAATTCATACTCAAAGCCAGAAATAAAAGTAGAGGGTATCAGTAATGGAGCATGAGGCAATAAAGATGCTATACACGAGTGCCAAGCTCCAATAAGGCAAAGTTTCAAAAAACCGTCCCGAACAAGAGCTTTAGTATCTACTATGATTTTGAAAAGAAAAAAAAAACAGAACGGTGAAATCAACAGTTGAGAAAATCTCTGCCTACAGATATGCAACACAAGGAAATTGAACTCTCTCAGCGCACGCGGCCGGGAAGCGGGTTTGAGCCGTTGGCTGGGCAGCTCCGGGGTCGGGGCTGCAGCGTGGTCGGACCCAGGCGTTTCTTCAACAGCAGCGGGCGGCGGGGGCCCCGCCCGAAGCCACCTCCCCCGCGGGTCGGCCCCGCATTCCTGCCCTGGTCTATACTTAACCTCCGGCCCGCGCCCCGCGGCCGCCGCGCCACGCCGTGCACCGTATTAGGCAATGCCCAGCAAGCAGGGATCGGCCCCCCCGCCGCGCTCCATTCACCCCGGCGGCGCCGCTGCTCCCCTCCCCCAAGGCCGCTGCCCGCGCCCCCCGGTCCCAACCCGCTTGCCGCCAGGCCTCTCACGCGCCCCCACGGGGTTTGTGCCGTTCGCCCCCCAAGCCGGGCGCACCTCGCCGCCAACCCCACTCAGGGAGAACGGAATGTCGGGGGACAACTGAGCTAAGAGGGCCTGAGCGTGGAGAAGGACTTTCTGGGAGCACGTACCCCGCAGTCATGGCAATGTTGTAAAAGATGAGCCAGGTGGTGGCCAAAAGGCCGAGGCGCCTCCTCTTGCTGGTGGCCTCCCTCTCTTCACCAGCTTCCGAGGCGCCGCCGTTGGTGCTGTCCTCCTCGCTGGACGCCATGGTGGCCGCGCACTCGGAGGAGGTGGAAGAAAGGGGAAGGGGAGTGGGAGGGGGCCCAGCCGAGTGTGCAGCAGAAGCGCCGCTGTCGGCTGCCGCCGTCTCTGTCAGGCGCCCCAT